ATTCAATGCACAGGATGGAAATGTATGGGGAAGCATTAAGGTTGCAGGGACAAAAGTGAATTTGACCTTAAGGTGCTTGCATCCAATCTACAAAGCCTTCCTGTTGGCACAGCTTGTCAAAAACTCCGTTAATTACTCAGAGACCAGATTTGCCAGGCTGCACTTAACAGCCAAACAGGCAGCACTTCTGCTCAGAGAGCTGCATGAGTGAAATTCAGCCCTGGACACAGTCAGCAAGGAAATTAGATGAGTATAACACTACCAGCAGCTGGGAGGGAAGGGAGCATCCCTCATGGTTGGGCACAGCATGGGCATTTACACAAACCCTTCCTCACATCTCCTTTGCACCCACCTGAAGCATCCCTTGCTCGTGGCTCTGCAGAATCGTTTTCCCAGCACAGGGCAGGTCTGTGCAGCCCTGCAGCTGGGCTCTCCGTTTGCACATCTTGCTCCACCCAGGGACGCGTGAAGGCTGAGGTCACCAGTTTTGCAGCAGCACCATTCCATGGTTCTACAGCACCTAAGCTGATTTCTGACCCAGCTCTTCTCCAGTCATCCTCCTGCAGAGACACTGCTTGCACTGCTGGCTCAGCGCATGGTGCCACTGCTCAGCAGTGCTCCTGGACCACCAGCAAGCACTCAAGTATCTCTTGTATCACTCTTACTGCAGCTCATTACACTGAAATCCCATTTTCAAGGCCATTATCTTCATTTTTGTCGTTCAGGGAGTGCTATAGCCAGTCTCAGCTTAATGTTCCCATGGGAAAAGCAGCTGTGACAACGACAGTAACACAGCAGATACTCCACAGGGCTTCATAACGCTGGGCTGTAATATGTTTGACTTTCACGTGTGGCATGCATGTATGATAATTCACAGCTGACATTACTGGAAAGTCTTTAAAGGTATCAAGAGGGGTTGAGGTTTGTAAAATTTGTTTTCCCGAGGGAGGAAGCAATTAAAGCATCCATTGGAAAGTGTTAATATGTCTCTAATTATTAATGAGAGGCAGCAACAGCTGGCTGCACTACCCTACACTAAGTCCATGTCCTATATACCTACCCTTTGTATACCATGTATGCTATATACCAAACATACCCTATAAGCTTCTGGATTTTCTCAGCTGCAATAAAGCAACCCTGTTTGTGTCACAGTAATATCCTGGAAATTATTACCCTTCAAAGAAAAATCAATTTTTTAAGTTATGTATTACTTAGGGGAAAAAATGTGAGCAAGGAACATTTCTCCATGTTATTTATTTCTGTTGCTCTATGGTGATGGGGGGTTGTGATGACATCTCAGGACTACTTGGTGACTGATGTTTGGACTGAACTGAAGTTAGATTAAGCCTAACAACAGTTAAGCAGCAGCTTGAGGACTATGCAGCTCTTTGCTTCAGAGCACTGACACTGAGTTTCATATTAGAGGATGCTGCCACCTGTTTGCATGCACTTTCAGGCAGAAGCAGGGAGATGCAGATTCTTTTTTGATTCAAACAAAACCTAAATGATTTAATTCTATTTCACCAGCCATTATCTCCTATCAAAGCAGATTGTTTCCAGAGGAGAAGCTTTTTGCAGGACCCCTCAGTGCATCTCTCTGCTGTTTTAGGCCAGTGAGTGCTGAAATGCAGAGCAAAAGCTTCAGCTCCAATCCTTCAGGGCTTGAGTGTTCAGAGCATAACTGGATGTGGTGTAGGGTGGGTGATTACACTCCTATTCAATTTGTTTTCTGACTTGCCATATGCAGCCAGGAGGGGAATCCTTATGCAGATGGATTTGTCGTACAACACAGCTTTCAGTAACAGCAAAACTTGTCTGAAAATCTACTTTATAGCCATCCTTGCTTCTACAGCCTTGAGATCCTAAGGCTCAGCAAATGACTATGCAAGGATCACAGCAATACGACTGGCATTTTCCCCCTTCTAATCCTTTGAAATTTCAAGATGATACCAAATACTGGGGTTTATTTTGTTTTCGTAATTTCTACCTCTTTGGTAAGTGAAGTCCAAAATCACCATCAAAATAAAGCAGCAGTGCAAACATGGTGTGCAAAGTCATGGCCTTCATGCAGCAGCCTCACAGGGCCAGCAGCTGGCAGCCAGCATGTCACAGTCTCCACGGTGAGGTGCATCTATGCAAAAGCAGCTCATTCTCCACAAGGGCATGGACACAATACTTTCAGTGCAACCATGCTGTTCTCCCTGTTAAAGCTTTCCACTCCTCTGTTTAGATGACATTTAATTACCTTTTCCTTCTCCCTCCAAAATCCAAATGAAACGACAAGTTCTACAGAGCAACATTGACATTTCAGTCGCTTGGTAGCTTCCATCTTCTCAGTCCCTATAAAAAAAAAGGTGATATCACATTTTCACCACCAATGCATAAACATCACCAAGCCTGTGATACACAGGGATTCACTCTAAATCTAGAGGTTGGCAGCCCTGCCAGCAGCAGGGGGGTTAGAACTTGATGATCCTTGGGGTCCCTTCCAACCCAAGCCATTCTATGATTCTGTATGTAATTTTCATCAGCAGCTCTTGTAATAAATCCAACGCCACGTTTGCATTTCCAGCATATGTTGTTTGCCTTTCCAACATAGCAGCTTCTGAAGGGCTGTTCCCCTCTGACATGACACATCTGACAGTGCCACAGGAAGCGGGGGATCTTCAAAGAGTGCCACAGCATTGCTGGGAGTGCAGAATGCATCTGTGTGCATCTCACAGCAGGAAAAGCAGCCACTTCGGGAGTAATTAATGCAAATCACTGCTCCACGTGTTCACTTACACTCTTGTTCTGCTGCGAGAAACTTGCGGTGCCGAGTAGCAAAACGCACAGAGTGACAGCCATGGTCTGGAAAACAGGAATAAATCCAACACAGAGCAAATGTGAGTGGGATGTGGGGTGGGCAGCAAGTTATGGTGCTTGCCCAGGAAAGCTGCACCTCCCTCTGATGGCATATAGAATCACAGAATTGCTCAGGTTGGAACAGACCTTAAAGATCAAGTCCAACCACAACCTAACCATACTACCCTAACAACCCACTGTTTAATCACAGCTCTGAGCACCACATCCAAATGGTTTTTAAACACACCCAGGGACGGTGACCCAACCACCTCTCTGGGCAGCCTATTCCAGTGCTTAACAACCCTTTCCATAAAGAAGTTTTTCCTGATATCCAACCTAAACTTGCCCTGGCACAACTGGAGGCCACTTCCCCTCATCCTGTCACCTGTCACCAGTGAGAAGAGACCAGCCCCACTCTCCCTGCAATCACCTTTCAGGTATTAGAAGAGAACAATATGTTTGCTTAGCAATGGCCACGTTGCACCTTTGAAATACAGTTTTGATACTTTGGGAGGAAGAGAGGTCCCAGCTTGAGCACATCTGTGAGCTAGGGCCCAAATCCTGCATACTGCATTTTAAAAATCCCTATTATCCCCTCTATCAGTCAAAGACTCTCAGAGCTTCTGCAGGCACCAAGAGCCACCAGTGATAGCGTGGGTGAAAGCAGCTCCTGGCAGAGAGCAGCCTGCAGTTGTGCAGATCTGTACCCCACACTCAGGTTACACCATCACCGAGCAGGGAGCTCTGTGGGACCAATTCCAAACATATCTGATGGTCAGGTTTGGAGCAGAGATTGTAAAAATGGTGCTCAGCATGTTTTCTGTGATGGCTTTTGAGTACTTTTGTTATTTAAATCCATTTTCCTGCATACTAAATTTGCTACCGTTAGCTAATCTGCTTCATGTCAGATGAAAGTAGAGATAATATGAATACTTACAGGTTCCATTTGATACAAATTTTTAGATAAGGCACAGTGAAATGGAAGAAATTTCTGAAACAATTCACTTGACACTTCTATACAGTTCATTTCCTTCGTTTTCATTTTGCCTGCATCTCATTTTCTTTGTAAATTCCTCCACCCAGGCTGTAAATGCTGCAGGATGTGATAGCAGTCACAGATGACCCATTCGAAGCTGTGTAGGTGACACAGAAACTCAAGACTCGATTTAAAAAATGAGTTACAATGCCTCATTGAAAGTCAATTCCTGTCTGCAAGTAGCTTGATCCCTTCCTAAGACTTTGCCCAGCCTTCTTTCCTTCCTATAGACATTTTAAACACTCTGCTCCTCTTCTGAGCTTGTACAAGCTCATATGTGTGCACATAACAGCTCCTGAGCCATCTCTGCTTCAGCAAGTTACTGAGACAGGGGAGGTTTAGGTTGGATATGAGGAGGAAGTTTTTCCTCCAGAGGGTGGTGAGGCACTGGCACAGGTTGCCCAAGGAGGCTGTGGATGCCCCATCCCTGCAGGCATTCAAGGCCAGGCTGGATGTGGCTCTGGGCAGCCTGGACTGCTGGTTGGTGACCTGCACACAGCAGGGCTTGGAGCTGGATGAGCACTGTGCTCCTGTGCAGCCCAGGCCATTCTATGGTTCTGTGGTTCTTTGGCACAAAACATGAAGCTACAGCTGCACTGCAAGCTATGAAATAGTTACCACGCCCAGGAGTTTGCTCCAGAAAGCAGCCTCTATTATCAGATATTCACAGACATTGTCTACCAGGTTTTGCAAGCTTCCTTCCCCCAGCTGAACAAATCGGCCCTATAAAAGCCTCTTAAAACCACACTATGATTTTTTCTCATCATCACATTACTAGGAACTAAGAGAAATGAGACAGAATCTGGATATCCATAGCACATGGGCAATTTCTGAGAGTTCCTGGAAGACTGTAAGCAAATTGATGTTACCCTTGACTTTGTGCTCTATCTCAATTTTGTACATAGCATTTTCCTCTTCCATTTAATGGAAACTTAATTGCTACAGAAAAAAAAAATAAAGAGAAGCAAAACCAATGTGTGATTCAACACTCACAATATTGCTCCCAGACACTGGGTCTGATCTGGGGATTTCTCAACACAGAATGCTTTTCTTTGGGAAGGAATTAATTGTGCACGTCAGCCAGGAGCCACAGTGTCCCCCCTCAGCCCAAAGCCATGACCAGAACTGTGTGCTCCTTCTCCACTTTTTTCAGTTGAAAGAAGGCTGGCAGAGGTTCCCCAGTGGTTCCACATCCTGCAGGGAGATGGCAAAGAGAATTTGGGACTGAGCAGCCAAATCAGCAACAAGCAAGGACTTTCCTACCAGGGCATTTCTGCTTTGCCTCAACAACTGATTTTCTCCACACGGTACAAATATCTCTTGTTGGAAATGTTCCTTGCAACCCTATTAAGATACTTTCTAGCTTTTCACAAATGCAAGGAGGGAATGCATAGGCTTAAGTAGCTGGCGTGACGCAATTTGGCCATTGATAGAATCATGGAATCATGAGGTTGGAAATGACCTACAAGATCATCGAGTCCAACTGTCCTCCCATCACCATTGCTGCCACAAGCACTAAACCAGATCTCGTAGCTCCTCATGCCAGGGATGGCGACTCCACCTCCCATCTGAGCAGCCCTTTTCAGTGCCTGACCATTCTCTGAAAGAGTTCTTCCTTACGTCTAACCTGAACCTCCTCTGCTACAACTTGTGGCCATTTCCTTGGGTCCTGTTTGTTGCCTAGGAGAAGAGGCCAAACCCCTCCTCCAATAACTCCTATAAATCAGGCAAATCTTATAAGGGCAAACATGAAGTCTTTGTCAGAGCACTGGTAGGTAAAATTGGTTTCTGTGTTAATCAAGATCGAGGTTAAGTACCAGTAATAAACAGAACTATGGTAATGAACTAACATGCCATCAGGAGGCTGACAAGAATAACCCATGTGCAGCTCCTGTACCAATATGAATGTGTGCTCACTGAAAGTATAAGGGACCTCGCTGATCAGAAGAGTTTGAGATAGGAAACCAGAAGAACATATGCATCAAAAACAGGGGACAGTAGTTCTTTGGAAACATCCTGATGACTGTTCCAACACTACCTTTGTATCATGGTGTGTTAATTTGAATTTTGCTGAAATAAAGCTGTGACTTTCTGGGTAATCTCAGAATGAAAGTGAAATGTAAGGAAAGGAATGAATCTTTGTGCTGTGCCTAAACTCAATCTGATCTAAGCATTCCATTTTTGTTCTAAAGAAAAGTAGGATATAACTGTGTGAATCTGTTTCCTTCCTCTGCTTTCATTCTTGTAAATCATCAATCCCACACCGAATCTCAGCACCCAGTGTTGTTTTTCTGCCAAACAATCTTGAGACTTGTGCACTGGATGAGAAAAAAGGATGGATAGAAAACTCACATTGCTTAACAAGCAGGAGAGCCTCCCAGGTTACAGAAGCCAAGATCTCAAGACTAAGAAGCCAGGCTGGATGTGGCTCTGGGCAGCCTGGTCTGCTGGTTGGCGACCCTGCACATAGCAGGGGGTTGAAACTCCTTGAGCATTGTGGTCCTTCTCAACCCAGGCCATTCTATGATACTATGATCCTTTTATTTGCTATGGCATCTTTCCAATGCAAAACAAGATCTTTTGCCTGCATATATAATTGTTTCTCCTTCTGGACCACTGTGACAGATGGGTGTGTTAAATTGATGTTTAATATGTTGATACATAAAGCTCAATTCCTACCGTAGAAGTGTGATGCTTGTTAGAGAAGATTAAAATTCAGAATGGTAATAATGGATATCATTCTTGCTTTACTGTCTAGCTGAAGCCTTGGGGTCTGGCTTGCAGGTGGACATGGTACCAGTCTGAGTATAAAAGCAGTCACAGCACAGGTGATGCTGCAAAGCAGCCCCACACATGGGAGGAGAACTTGTAAGAGCTTTGCAGAAGCTGCTGAAGCCACTGGGGTTGCAAGCTGCCAGGTGCACCACACCAGGCATCCCCCAGAGCTGCTCTGCTCAGAGAGCTGCTCCCTGAATTAGCACCAGGATGACTGCTGCAAAATGCTGTTGGACAAGTTCAGGCAACAAATGGCTATTTCTTAGCAATTCACAATGCTCTCTCTCCTTTGTCTTTTGCTTGTGTCCCATTTATATCCTGACAGAGCTGCTGAGCAGCCCCCAGCTCAGCCAGCACTGCTGCACAGCCCCAGCTGCTTCCCCACACACCTCACCTCCATGCAAACAAGTCTCTTCCATGAGTGAAATGCACTACATTTGCTAAATGCATGAAAGACAAAATGCAAAACAAAAGAAACCTGATCAAATTAAAACCAAAAAGACATGCTTTGCTTGACGTAGCAGTAATTAGCAAGGATTTGATCTTCCTGCCAAACGACAGCTATGGTAAAATACAGCATGAAGAGTTACTGCCTGCACCCAGAAGTTCATACATAGAGTCCAAATGAAGTGTAAAAGTCCTCTTTTGCCCATAGACTATGCATTAAAGGGAAAAAAAAGAAAGAAAAAAATGAAGAACATCTTTTGCAGGCTGCAGCTAAAGCCCAAATATCCAGTTGGTATACATCTATTAAATACAAGGGTCTCAGGATGAGCAAGGTCTAAATGTCTGCAATAAATAATGTGAGTAGCTGCGCTTTTTACAATTCCCCTTTCCCTATTACTAATTGCAAGCATCCTATTAGCTTTAATTACAGCTACTAAACATTCAGCAGCCATGCAATATTTATCAATCTAGCTGCAATGGCTCCTAGGTGATGCTTTTCCTGAGATGTGGCTGGTTCTGTTTAGCACCAGAACAATGTGCCTGTGCAGTATGAGGAATCTGCACAAAAGCATTAAATCACTCAAGCAGCTGAGTAATAGTAGCTGAGCAATAAACACATTTAGAGCTCTGGTTAAAGCCAGTAGGACGTGTCCTCCAGGGGATGCCCTCTTCCATCCTCCTCAATCCCTTACAACAACCACGGGATCCCTCAGATGCAAAAAAAAGCTCTCATTAGCTCACATGGCCCTGCAGCTCATTGTCTGCAGGCATTCATTAACCTTAACCCCGTTCTGATTTTGCTGCACAACTCCAAATTTAGTGCCACCAGATGGGGACCCTGTGGTGCTGCAGAGCTCCCACCTGGAGAAGTGCTGCCCGCGGATGTCAGGGTTTGGAGTGAAATGCATATGGCAGAGATGGCAATAACTGTGACAGTGCTGAGAGCAGCAAACCTCGCTCTTAATGGCAGCTCCTGCGTGGCATCTCACCCCATCTCTTCACTAAGACATACTTGCTCCTGAAGCCAAAGCTGTTCCCCATCACACAGCCAGAGGCGCACGCAGACAGGAGCTCCCCACCAGCAGTGTGCAGCCCAGTGGGAAGCCAGGGAATGCAATGGGTTGCTGTGACATCTCCTACATGCTCCTCTACAGACTGTCCTCACATTCTGCAGAGCCAGAGCACAGGGACACAAGGACATGGGGACACAAGGATGCCAGGATTCAGAGACATCAGGACACAGGGCACCAGGACAGGGGGACATAGGGACAGAGGGGCATCAGGATACAGGGACATAAGGACACATGGGACCCAAGGACAATGGGACACCCCCACAATAGGAAGGGGAATGTGTAAGCAGAGCCCTCAGCCCCACTCATGCCCTCCTCCCTCTGAAGAGGCCCCACTGCAGTGCCTCCCTGCCTCAGGGAATGGCAGTTTCCTAGAATAGTATCCCAAAGTAGAAGACATAGCTGCTGAAAACTTTAAAGGATTATTACAGGAATGGTAATAAACACTATCAATGATTCCTGTATTTTTCTGCATTTAAAAACAGCATTTATCACAGCTATGGGCTTTAACAGCCTTTAAATTTCTTTTATCGCTGCGAGTAGATTTGTAGTGCTGTGCACTATATATTTAACTCTTCTGATCTACACAATGATGATTTTGTGTAAAAGCTGATTTTTTTCATTTTAATTTCTCCGTTACAATGCATCCTTTTCATTTTGTCATGTCTGTTTCTAACTATTAAGGAACTCTGTGCTCACTGGAATTACCATTGCCTTACCTCCAGACTGGTTGGTTTCCTTCATTGCGTCCCTCTGTGGAGCAAGGTAGTGGAGCTGATGGCATATTCCCATCTAAAGATAAATTTACCAACAAAAAAACCAACAAAGGATGAGTAGGAAGCACATGTGCAAGCTGCTGGGTTTGAAGCTGCAGACAGAAAAGAAAAGAGAAGAATGCTGACAGAATCACAGGGAAAACTCAACAAAAGAGCTTTTGAGCTAAGCCTTGACCCCAAAGACGCTACAGAAGTAGGAGATGAGACACTATTTCTTTTTTGATTCTTCCAAAGAAAGACTTTTATGTTCTCTGTAACAAATAAACATCTCTATCTCTAGCACTGATGCCTGATGCTGTGCCAAATGGTTGCAGTGGCCATCATCCCCTGGCAGCAGGGATCTCTGACACGATGTCACACCCATAGAGCTCATCCAGGCTAGCCAGGATTCACACAAATTCTACTTGTGACATTTTGGGTGTTTTCTTCCTCACTGTACCTGTATAAAAGTATTCAGGTGACAGAAATATCTGAAGGTTCACATTCAAATGCTTTTCAAACCAATGGGAAAGGGTGAAGAAAAGTTCAGCGAATTGCTTTGTTTTGAAGGTAATTCATGCCACGCAAGCTTCCTATTTATTTAAACACTGCAAATTCATTCATATTTAATGCATCTCTACCATGGTGAGGACCTGAATTAAACGTAACTTATGTGTTTTGTAGATCAGACACTTTATACTCACCTCAGCTCCCTTCCTCCTGCAGGGAGTGTGAGCCAAGTGCTCGAGCAGAGCCCGTTCTCCCTGGGAATGCCCTGTGCCCACCGGGCTGTTGGCACAACAAGATGCTTTCAGCTGCTTTGCTTGACGTTACACTGTGGTGTAGCAAAGCATTTAAGCATTGGTGGCCCAGAGATTAAAGAAGCAGCGTGGAAGGTTTGCAGAGGGCTGGAGAAGCATCATCCTGCTGGCTCCAGGCCTGGCCAGCAAAATGCCCTGGTTCTGGCTGCCAGGGGTGGCTGTAAGCCAGAAAACAAAGTGCTCCTACAGGGCAGTGTTTGCAGAGGCACAGCTCTGATGCACTGGGACAGGTTGCCCAAGGAGGCTGTGGATGCCCCATCCCTGCAGGCATTCAAGGCCAGGCTGGATGTGGCTCTGGGCAGCCTGGGCTGCTGGTTGGTGACCTGCACACAGCAGGGGGTTGGAACTGGATGAGCACTGTGCTCCTTTGCAACCCAGGCCATTCTATGATCCCATTATCTCAGTACTCCAGGGTGCCAGCATGAAATTTGAAGAGGTCTGTGAAACAGAGAGATTCTAATTTGTAATAATGGGCCTTGGTGCCCCACTGCTCATCCCTTGAGGTACCCGTTCTTCCAGACTGTTGCTTGCCAGTTCCGAGGTACCATGCAGGCAGTGCAGTCCACCTGCAGCATGGAAGCACTGTAAGAAGGGCTGTGGCACAGACACCTTCCTCAAGTTCTCATTTCCAGCCATCTGAGACAACTTTGTTCTGGTGTAATTCGAAACAATATATTGCACTGATCTTACATTCACAGACATCAAAGTTGTTCACATCTACGTACAAAGCGTGACACTTGCTCCATTACAGCATTCAAACCAGGCAGAAGACAAGCCTCTTTGATCTGGTTTTGCTGCTTCCTGAATTTTGTTCATTTTCATTTTCCCATGGAAGTAAGAGACGTAGCTAAAGAAATCTCAATAAAAATTGTCCCTGGTGTAGAATGTGACAAGCAAGCAGACGTGATTCATGAACATTTATGATGTATTAATCAAACCAAGACAACCTTCCTTCCAAACATGCAGACAACCATATAAACAACTTTGTCAGCATTGGCATAAGAATAAATGAATTAACTGTTTCCAATGTGTGAATTTTCTAGTTTAAGCTAATTGTACAGAGCACAACAGATCTGAAAGGAGGTTCTGCTGGCTGTGCCAACGGAATGCATGCATATACGTGGCTGGCAGAAGGGGACAGAGTAAAGCTGCATCCCAAAGAAAAGCACAGTCCTGTCAGATCAGGGCCATTTATGTAAGTAAGTGTAAGCCCAACACTGCCAAATAGATATCAGGAAGAGAATCCATTAAGTGTTATTGAAAGTCAGGGTATCCCCTCTAGCTAAGAAAAGTTATTAGTCTGACAAATGTCAAGTGCTAATCTAGAACTAATGGGATTTAATTTTATGAATTGTTTTCATAAATATTCTAAAATGTCTTTAGAGAGACATATTATATAGTTTCAGATCTCTTGAATTCATAAAAATATTTTAGCACAGAATATGAATAATTCACTGCTATGATTTTATTTATATAGAGAAACGATATTTTATTTGTTTGCGCCTTAAACCACAGCGTCTCAACGTCTCCATTTGCCACAAGCCCAAGCAATGGTGTGCAGGAAAGAAGCAGAGAGAGCCAACAAAGCACTGCTCCTCAGAACTCCTCTGCTCAGATAATATGAATGAAGCACCTTTATTTTACCTGCACGTTGCAGCAGTACTTCAGAGCTCAGTTCCAGTGGCCGCATCGCCCTCTATTCTTTTCATGGGAGTCTGGGAGGGGAGAGTTGGATTTTCTGTGCTCTTCGTGCCAGCTGCCTGCTGTCAGCGGGAGAGTTCCTCTCTCTGTTGCTCGGTTCTCCTTCCACTGGAACAGTGCTGGAAGGTGAGTTGGGAGAGATGAAAAGCACTTCAGAAGGAGCAGGGAAGGGAAGTGAGGAACTGGAGCTAGCTTTGTTTGCTCAGCTCCTTTTGTCCCAAGGACCATCCTGCAGGGCAGCCCAGCCCCGCTGCCTGCACCGTGCCTCACATAGCAGCAGCCCAACATCCTCTGCCCCTTCATTTCTGCATTTCTTTGTGAGCAAACAATGCTGGGTGTGTTTTCCTACCACCTTTTCTTGAAGCAGGTGGTGGAAGCCAGGTCTGGCACCTCCTGCTCTGAGGAGGGTGCTGGCAGCGTCTGGCATATCTGACTGAGACACCACAGCACTGGGTGCCTGCTGTTCAGGTGGAGCCTTTGCTTGCTTCAATGCTGCAAGAGTAATCCCTGGTGCAACACAGCTTCCCCACCAAAACTTCTTTACATTACTTTGGAGATACATGGAATCACAGAATGGCCTGGGTTGCAAAGGAGCACAGTGCTCATTCAGTCCCAACCCCCTGCTGTGTGCAGGTCACCAACCAGCAGCCCAGGCTGCCCAGAGCCACATCCAGCCTGGCCTTGAATGCCTGCAGGGATGGGGCATCCACAGCCTCCTTGGGCAACCTGTGCCAGTGCCTCACCACCCTCTGGAGGAAAAACTTCCTCCTCATATCCAACCTAAACCTCCCCTGTCTCACTTTAAAACCATTCCCCCTCATCCTATCACTATCCACCCTCATAAACAGCCATTCCCCCTCCTGTGTATATGCTCCCTTCAAGTATTTTAAGGCCACAGTGAGGTCTCCCCACCTTACAGACTGCAAGCCAGCACTGAGGTGGCGATCCAGATGGTATAAATGGCAAAGAAACCAGCATTCCATGCCCCTTTCCTCATTCTCCGATTAACGCTGCTTTATGCCAGGGTTTGCTCTTGTGCCCCACACCTGCCCAGGGCACAAGGCTCTCCTGCCTTGAGTCACCTTCCCCTACTTCCAGCAGCATCTGTTGATTTCCCTCAAAGCTCCTCAGTACAGAGAGGATTTCTGAGCATACAAAGCCCATCTCTTATAATAACATCTCCCAGTCACTTGTTATATCCTTGTAAAAATGACATTAGGTACTCTACAGTACAGCCAAGTATTTCAGCAGCAAATGAGATTGTGCTCACCTGAATTTATTCCCCAGTACAGGCATGGTCTGGAGAATCACTGAAGTGCAACATTTCAACTCTTCACCATCACACAGACATCAGAGCAGAGTCGGTTTTGTATATGTTTGCAACCAGCATCAGCACCCTGTGCCCTGTCTCGTTTCTTAGCACTGTCCGTGCTCAGGTCTCCACCAGGCTTGCATGCCTGCAATAGGCAAAACAAGACTTCTTACCCATGGCAGATCAGCTTCTGCTTTCTAAAGGGAAGAGCATGTCATTTTATAACTCAATTGGTTCTGCTTTCTGCCTATTTTGCATTTAATTGTGCAGTCATTTGGTAGTTGGAGAGGGACAGAACAAATATCATTATTTTCAACAGAGTTTCTGCTGTTTTGCTCTACTTCATTAGGTAGAAACAAGCACTAATCCTGAAAACCAAGTATGATTAAGTATTAAAAGTTTGAAAGAAATCGCACTGATAAGGAAAATAACTGTAATAACCTCCCCTTCTTTAACAACAAACACATCTTTGTTAAAATCTGATCACCCGAGGCAACACCCTGGTTGTGCAGAAGCTTTCTTTTTCACTAAGGAGCTACAATGCCATGGCAGAGGTTTGCTCTGTTCCCACCTCCCTCCCTCACTGCCAGCTACAAAGAGCAGTGCAGCCCTGGGCAGTGGGGCTCCCATCTGCAGTCTCTGTGGCCTTTCTGAATCCTCTCCTGGCAATATGGACTGAAAGTGATTCTTGTTTGCAGGACAAAACAAGAAATAACTTCACTTCCTGGAGGAGGTGGAATTATAGAATCCTAGAATGGCCTGGGTTGCACAGGAGCACAGTGCTCATCCAGCTCCAACCCCTTGCTGTGTGCAGGTCACCAACCAGCAGCCAAGGCTGCCCAGAGCCACATCCAGCCTGGCCTTGAATGCCTGCAGGGATGGGGCATCCACAGCCTCCTTGGGCAACCTGTGCCAGTGCCTCACCACCCTCTGGCTGAAAAACTTCCTCCTAATATCCAACCTAAACCTCCTCTGTCTCACTTTAAAGCCATTCCCCCTTGTCCTATCACTATCCACAGACATACCCACATTTTCTGAAAGCTGAAATCCCACAGGCTGTTTTCCAGCTATCTTTGTTCTCCCTGAACAATGTGCATCCTCACAGTGCCTTACATTGCTTTAGCTCCAAATGGAGCAGCAATGTGTCAGACTTGTACATTCATGACTTATAATCTTGAATACGCTTTTAAAGTTTCAGCACTCGGTGCCAAGCATTCCCTGCACTACATCCCTGCTCAGACAGGAATGTGCCACATGTAGAGGAGGGCTCTCCACTCTTTGTTGTCACACCCAGCTCATTTCCCAGGTGACAGTCCCATCCCACCTTCCTCCAGACCAACAGGAGATAGTCACGTATCATGGGAAGAATGCCACTGATAGTTACAAATACCCACCCAAGGCCAACCAGAACCACTTTCATCTGCAGTTTTTCAAAATAGGGGATTCTGCAGAGCAACTTCTCCAGGGAATAATGGCAGCTGCTCCTTTCCTCTCCTTCATCAAATACAAGTGGACAATTTTCTGGAGTGGAGCTTTTCCTATGAAACAAATGGGCCTCCTCCTCCATCCCCTACACAATTCCAGCTCACACGCACTTTTCCAGGTTCATTTTCAAGCCTCAGCCTTGGAACAGCCCTCTGCTGTGCCTGGAATGGTAATTCAACGGCAGAGCGCGAGCAGAACTGTATTTCCTTACATCTCCTCTTGCATAAAAAGCTGTTTACTCCCGAACTGTTAACTTTATGGAGACTTACATGGTTGAGCACTCCTGCTGCTGGAGATATTACTTCTGTCTATCACGAGGGAAACCTGTCCGATGAAATTTCTTATCTGTCACCCAGATGCAAGCTGAAGCTTCTTCAGGATGCGCCGGTTATCTGCCTCAGATTAAAAGAGTGAGTGCCATGTTGGGAAGTGATTTGTATAGATCGCTGGGTTTTAATGATAAGTGTAAAGGACCTCACCTCTTCAGGAGTGTCACTGCAGAAGCTGAGAGCTGAACACGATCTCCTCGGAAAGCAATTTGCGCTGCAATTACAAAATACCGGGGCGTGTGTCATGGAGAGCGAGTGGATTGCAGGGGTTTAATTCTCCATTTACTGCAGGCAGGCATTCCGTTATTACTGACATCCTTGCCATGTGCCAAGTGCTCAGTGGGGGCTTTCACATGCTAAAGCAGATTAAAGAATTTTCTCCAGCAAAAAGGTCTGTCTTTACCTGCGTGCCTTTGTTCACTGCATGCCCAGCTCTGAAGATAATGAAAGTTGCAAGGAATGCATAACAGCTAAATCAGCTTGCTGTGCAGCATGTCAGTCAGCATGTCATCAGTAAGAGCTCAGAGATCACCCCAAACTAATGAACCTGGACGAGAGAAGAGTCCAGCTGCTCCATAAACCCCTTTTTTTGGGGGTGGGTGCAGCTTGAATAATCTTAACTTTTTCAAATGATTCTTTTCTGCCTTTAAAGAAAACAAACCCAACAGTTGCAAGCGTATTTCAAGTTATATTTGAAAAGAAAACAACATGTGAGGAAACTTTTTAAATTATTGTCTTTAAATAAAGTGCTCTTCTTGCTCTCCAACAGCTTCATATCACCTGACAGAACCGTCCTGGCTGTATTCTTTAACAATAGCTATAAAACTGAAGAGAGGAGACAAGTAGGTTTATTGCAGAACAAGTTGTGACTCAGACAGATTCACTTAAGACATACCAAAGAGATTTTTTTTTTGCTCATTCCTATAGGAAAAATGACTTTAAGTTTTTGAAAAAAAATACAAATCCACACCAATCAGGCAATCTGGGTTATTTCTCCCAATGGAGAAAACCACTGGGAGCCCAAGGGCTGTGCAGCCCTGTGCTGAGCTGCCCAGTGGGAGCACGGAGGGCTGGGTGGCCTTGAGACCAAAGAAAACAACTGCAGGAAGTACAGGGGAGATTTCCATGCATCATCTCCTCACATCCCTGCTTCCAGCCACATTGTGCTTACAGCACCCACCTCGTTTTATAGCATGTTTAAGAATAGGCAATTTCAGTAAATGGATATGGGAGGAAAGCCTTTAGTTTGTAGTGCCTGCTATTAATATCAAAAATCTTGTTACCTCGGGAGAATGGCCATGGGCTTGATCTGAAACCACCAGTAGGATCAATTTTCATTAGGAAAGCAACTGGCACAGAGATTTTGAGCTGAACACTGAGTTTGGCATTCTATGAACTGATCAACAAAAACTGCCCATCTAATGGCGATATGAAATAATTAAGGACATGCTGTATGATTGCTGCCTTAAATTCCTACACCGGCTCTGACAGTACGTGATGCTCAGTAGGAAAGCCAATAAAAGTCTCTGCAAGGTTATTTTTCCTGTGTTGTCAGCACATTGCTACTTAATGACTTTTAGAGTAGGTCAACTGAAAAGTGGTTTCTTTCACCGTTATATGTTACTATCAAGATTTTATTTCCTTTGTCAGCTGTTATTTCTAAACTCCAGAAGCTGTAAACATGATTTTTGATTTATTTATTGTAAAAAATGATTATTTTCTAGTCACCACACAGCTGATTTTGAAAAGCTATTCCTTTTTTATGACTGCACAATCCTATCATCTTATATCTCAAGCACCATAGAGAGAAAAGCTACTTCATAATTACAAAACCTGTCTCTACCTTTGGTTTCCTTGCTGGCTGTATTAAACGTGCTTTTATGTCAAATGCATGAACCTGAAAATGTATGTGAGCCACATCTCCAAAGGCAAGGCATGGCCCAACCTGCAAAGTGGACACGGACTGGGGAGACAAAAAGATCG